ACAGTGAACACTACGCTGTCGGTTTTTGGTTGGCCTTAAGTGAAGGTAAGTTTAAGATTTCCAAAACCCTTTTATCTTAAACTAGGCCTAGCTTAAGGATTATTAGGAGTACTCTGTATACTAGAATATAGTTTAATTAGTTAAACTAGAATTCATTTAAGGGTTGACAAATATTAAAGTGATTGGCCTTAGACTAAGAATAGTTTAAGGATATTGTTGAATGACAAATGATGAATATAAATGTTGAATGATTGAATAATGAATGTTGGAAATTGAATATTGATTATTGAATATCTGAACTGAACATTATGTGCATGATATCAAATGGTCGATTATGAATTGAGATTCAATTTATGTGGATGTTCGACGCATTAGATATGCTTACTCAGCTTTACCGCTGAGCGTGTAGTGTGTTTTATTTGCTACACGCAGGTCAATAGAATGATGTGACGTGATCCTGGAGGCAGAAGGAGGCGAGGTAGTCGGAATGGATGTGATGGTTTTGAATTAAAGAATATAAATAAATTATGTTTGTGGTTATGAATTGTTAAGCTTCCGCAATATTGAAAACTCTGTACTGTTTATGATATGAAAAATATTATTATGATAAATAAAAGTGTTTGAAAAGTTTTAAATTTTACGATTACCAAGTTAATACTTTAGTCCGAAAGGGGCTGCAGACCTGGACGGATTAGGGTGTTACATTAGACATGTTGCATGAGTCCAAGCGCTTACTCTCGCGTAATTTTGACATGAAAGATCTCGGAGAGGCTTCTTATGTTATTGGCATCGAAATACACCGAGATAGAGTCAATGGTATTTTGGGATTATCTCAAAAGGCTTACATTGAGCGTGTCCTTACACGTTATAACATGCAACATTGCTCTCCTTTTGTGGCTCCAGTAGTTAAGGGAGATGTTTTCGGTTTATTTCAATGTCCAAAAACAGAGGTTGAAAAAGAACAGATGAGAATGATACCTTATGCGTCAGTAGTAGGAAGCCTTATGTATGCACAAGTCTGTACTCGTCCAGATATCGCTTACATTGCTGGAATGTTAGGTCGTTATCAGACCAATCCTGGTCTTGATCACTGGAAAGCAGCTAAGAAAGTTCTTCGATATCTACAAGGGACAAAAGACT